CACGCCTCTTGTCAAGACCCTCGCATTTACTTCTCTTACAACCCCATCTATAAATATATAAAACAACCATGGTGACATCACACATCCTTGTCTAAGGCCTACTTTTACTGGGAAATAATTTCCCTCTTTCCTATGTACTCTAACTTGAGCCTCACTATCCTCGTAAAAACTCTTCACTGCTTTCAGTAACCTACCTCCTACACCATACACCTGCAACATCTGCCACATTGCCCCCCCTATCCACCCTGTCATACGCCTTTTCCAAATCCATAAATGCCACAAAGACCTCTTTAGCCTTATCTAAATACTGTTCACTTATATGTTTCACTGTAAACACCTGGTCCACACACCCCTTACCTTTCCTAAAGCCTCCTTGTTCATCTGCTATCCTATTCTCAGTCTTACTTTTAATTCTTTCAATAATAACTCTACCATACACTTTACCAGGTATACTCAACAGACTTATCCCCCTATAATTTTTGCACTCTCTTTTGTCCCCTTTGCCTTTATACAAAGGAACTATGCATGCTCTCTGCCAATCCCTAGGTACCTTACCCTCTTCCATACATTTATTAAATAATTGCACCAACCACTCCAAAACTATATCCCCACCTGCTTTTAACATTTCTATCTTTATCTCATCAATCCCGGCTGCCTTACCCCCTTTCATTTTACCTACTGCCTCACGAACTTCCCCCACACTCACAACTGGCTCTTCCTCACTCCTACAAGATGTTATTCCTCCTTGCCCTATACACGAAATCACAGCTTCCCTATCTTCATCAACATTTAACAATTCCTCAAAATATTCACTCCATCTTCCCAATACCTCTAATTCTCCATTTAATAACTCTCCTCTCCTATTTTTAACTGACAAATCCATTTGTTCTCTAGGCTTCCTTAACTTGTTAATCTCACTCCAAAACTTTTTCTTATTTTCAACAAAATTTGTTGATAACATCTCACCCACTCTCTCATTTGCTCTCTTTTTACATTGCTTCACCACTCTCTTAACCTCTCTCTTTTTCTCCATATACTCTTCCCTCCTTGCATCACTTCTACTTTGTAAAAACTTCTCATATGCTAACTTTTTCTCCCTTACTACTCTCTTTACATCATCATTCCACCAATTGCTCCTCTTCCCTCCCGCACCCACTTTCCTGTAACCACAAACTTCTGCTGAACACTCTAACACTACATTTTTAAACCTACCCATACCTCTTCGACCCCATTGCCTATGCTCTCATTAGCCCATCTATCCTCCAATAGCTGTTTATATCTTTCCCTAACTGCCTCCACTTTTAGTTTATAAACCTTCACCCCTCTCTTCCCTGATGCTTCTATTCTCCTTGTATCCCATCTACCTTTTACTCTCAGTGTAGCTACAACTAGAAAGTGATCTGATATATCTGTGGCCCCTCTATAAACATGTACATCCTGAAGTCTACTCAACAGTCTTTTATCTACCAATACATAATCCAACAAACTACTGTCATTTCACCCTACATCATATCTTGTATACTTATTTATCCTCTTTTTCTTAAAATATGTATTACCTATAACTAAACCCCTTTCTATACAAAGTTCAATCAAAGGGCTCCCATTATCATTTACACCTGGCACCCCAAACTTACCTACCACACCCTCTCTAAAAGTTTCTCCTACTTTAGCATTCAGGTCCCACAATTACTCTCTCACTTGGTTCAAAGGCTCCTATATATTCACTTAACATCTCCCAAAATCTCTCTCCTCTGCATTCCTCTCTTCTCCAGGTGCATACACGCTTATTATGACCCACTTCTCGCATCCAACCTTTACTTTAATCCACATAATTCTTGCATTTACACATTCATATTCTCTTTTCTCCTTCCATAACTGATCATTCAACATTACTGCTACCCCTTCCTTTGCTCTAACTCTCTCAGATACTCCAGATTTAATCCCATTTATTTCCCCCCACCGAAACTCCCCTACCCCCTTCAACTTTGTTTCGCTTAGGGCCAGGACATCCAACTTCTTTTCATTCATAACATCAGCAATCATCTGTTTCTTGTCATCTGCACTACATCCACGCACATTCAAGCATCCCAGTTTTATAAAGTTTTTCTTCTTCTCTTTTTTAGTAAATGTCTACAGGAGAAGGGGTTACTAGCCCATTGCTCCCGGCATTTTAGTCGCCTCATACGACACACATGGCTTACGGAGCAAAGATTCTTTTCCACATCCCCATGGACAATAGAAGAAATAAAGAAGAACAAGAGCTATGTAGAAAAAGGAGAAAAACCTAGATGTATGTATATATACATGTATATGCATGTGCATGTCTGTGAAGTGTGACCAAAGTGTAAGTTGGAGTAGCAAGATATCCCTGTTATCTAGCGTGTTTATGAGACAGAAAAAGACACCAGCAATCCTACCATCATGCAAAACAGTTACAGGTTTCTGTTTCACAGTCATCTGGCAGGATGGTAGTACTTCCCTGGGTGGTTGCTATCTACCAACCTACTACCTTTTCATGTAGTGCCATAATTTGTTAATTAACCCTTCAAGGGTTGGTCATGTACAAGTACGTCATTGCAGCCAGGGTTGGTCACGTACTTTTGCGCCTAAATTCTAGCGCCTTCAAATCTGGTGGATAAAAAGCTGGTAGGCCTACATATGAAAGAATGGGTCTGTGTGCACAGTATAAAAAAAATTCTGAAGCACGCAGTGCATAATGAGAAAAAAAAAACTCCGACCGTGTTTTTGGTTTAAAACAGTGACTTTCTAGTGTATTTTTGTATGGTACTTATGGTTGTATTCTCATTTCTTTGGTCCCATTTGATAGAATGGAAAATATATTACAAAAACGGACATGATTTTAATTGGTTTCACTTTGACAAGCACCTGGAAATTGAGTCCAAGTAGCAAAAATGATCGATTTTTGCCGATGTTCAAAAGTAAACAAATCACGCCACGCATCCAGTACACATCAACTGGCGATTCTAATATTCTTTCACAAGTGCGCTGATATCATTTATATTTTTTTTTTTTTTTTGAAAAATTTTCAAAAATGAGAAGGAGTTTGAAAGAGGGTCTCTCGACCCTCAAAGGGTTAAAAGATTAACGAGCTCGACTTGCATTTTTGAGCTGATTTTATGGTAAAGTTATCTAAAAGATGGGTGTTAGATGTTTGAAAATGGGGCACAATTTCAGTCCTTGCCATAGGTGCTATTTTCTATAGATACCCCTCTGGATGCCATCATCACTGATGTAAACAAATGTGATGGCACAAACTGTGACATCAGAGGGGTAAGGGTCATATGTAAACATCAAAATATTCAAGATAAAATTTTAGTTAGGACATTTTATTACAAACACACTATAGCTTAGGGAGTTTTTATTAAATTTCTAAAACATGAGGAAATTAAGAAAAATTTATTCATCTTACAAGTGAGGATACTGAAGCTACTTTTATTCATCTCAAAAAATGAGGATCTTCTATTGCATGCCCCTCTCAATGAAACAAATATTCCACTGTAAGTTAAACAGTTTTATGGAGAAAATCTGTTACTTCAACAAGCTCCAGCTTATGCAGCCTGTTGTCTACTCCATTGTCACCAATCACCAAAACAAACATGGCTACCTGTTATTTACAGATACCAGCAATATCTAAATTATAATTTATAATAGTTACTGACCATTCTAAAGTAATCTGGGAAATAGTTCTGCAGGGGTAGTTGATTGGGGTTCAACTTGCCAGTACTGCAACTACTACTTGCTCGTAACTCTTGTTCCTGACCTTGAGTATACTAAGCACAGAATGATTTTCTGAGTTTTTTTTTTTTTTTTTCTGAGTGGGGGAGGAACAAGCATGTCTTATCTGCCAGAAAATATGGTCATCCCAAGATGCCCTAATTGCAAGTGCGATTATTCATAAGGAAGATAAGTACAAGTCGAGGACCTGTATCTCACATAAACAATTACCGAAGTACAACATAAAATAAAATGGCAAGTGCTAATTAAGTCAAATATATTAAAGCAATATCTCTCATTATTTGGAATAATGGAAGTGCAAGGATGTCTCCTCTATAACAGCATTAATGGACTGCACTTCCTCAGTATCCACAAGTTTTGCATTTATTAATTTGTCAATTAATGGGTTGTGTTTTATGTTCTACTGTCTGTTATACACAGCTGGGGCTCATGGATCCATCATAACTTATACAATATTATGAAGGATGAGTATATTAACACTCCAAGGACTGAACCATAACCAATAAAGTTGTCCTAGGTGTATGCATGTGTCCTTTCTTCCACAATATTATGACTTCGCAAACTTGGCTCCAATACTTGTAACATCTCTATTTAAAATATCATCTCTGCACATAACTCTATCAGATGACCCATTTATACAAATGACCCAAAATAGCAAGAAATGTTAGACTAATGCAGTATAGTAACATGTCTTGAAACAAATTGCACATCTACAAATTAACCAATCTAAAATTTATCTGAAAATACATTCCTGATGGATAATGAGAGAACACAGTACTATACTGTATAGATATACAGAAATTTAAAATCCTTCTTATAGTCAGATGAATAATTCCTAATTTGAGATTTTTAAATGGTAATTTCTGCTCATGTTCCAAAACACTGAACAGCATAAAACATTTCTAAAATTTTTTAGAATTTAAAATTTAGTTTTAATGAAAATTTTTGCCCATGTTCTGAAATATCACACAGTACTGATAATTTAAAATTTAAAATTGTATTTTCCCCAATTCTTAAAAAACTACATAAATTTTTCAAGTCAAATTAAAATAGACATTTCTTGATCTTGAAAAAATTCATAATTTCAATAATCATTCAGAATGCAATAATTATTTTCTGAATTTGGGAGTCTTTTGGATTCTGTAAAAAAAAATTACAGTTAAAATACGTACTACTGTACATCAAATAACACTGCAATGAAATCTCATCCAAATTCTCTAAAATTATAATAAAAACATATATACCTTGCATCTGTCCAACAGTGAGGTCAGTGTCAAGTCTGTCTATACCAGCCAGCAATAACATTTTAGCTGGAGAACAAGCCAAGAACTTGGCTGATAATCCTTGAAACCAGCCTGACCAAAACTTTTCTGTTTCTCCTAAGTTTATTCGCCATGTATATTTCTTTACCTGCAAATCATAATTAAAAATTAATAAATGCTTTGAATGTGTGTGTAAAATATTTTTTAAAACTTCTAGTAGCCCCTTTTCTAGTTTTTTTATGAAGGAGGGCCCCACTTATACAGCAAGTTAGGTTCCAGGCTACTGCTGTAAAGTGAATATGTAGCAGCTATGACTTCAGTTTCTCATGACATTTTTTCAGCCCAGTGGCCCACCTGTATCGTGAGTCCACCTCTGTACACAATACACACATTATTTAAAATATTTTTGAACTTAGCTTATAGTGAGTGTGAATGTATTTATTGTAGGAAGTCTGAATAAATGAAGAATGTGTATAACTGAAAACTGCTGTATTAGTGAAACACCGTATCAAATGATTTAGATAAAGAAAAGTTGGATATCAAATTGGGGAGGAGGAGCATGGAAGAAGTGAATGTTTTCAGATATTTGGGAGTTGACATATCAGCGGATGGATTTATGAAGGATGAGGTTAATCATAGAATTGTTGAAGGAAAAAAATTTGAGTGGTGCGTTGAGGTATACGTGGAGACAAAAAAAAACATTATCTGTGGAAGCAAAGAAGGGAATATATAAAAGTATAGTACAGTGGACCCCCGACATTCGATGGCATCGACATTCGATAAATCCAACATTCGATGCATTTTAATGCAAAAATTTCACCTCGACATTCGATGGAAAACCCAACATTCGATATGATTCATACAAGATGTGTCCACGTGTGGCCTGAACTGCACCGTGTGTGCCAGTGTTTACAAGTCAGCCAGTGTGCGCACATCTAAGGATACATTTGGTACATTCCATATTATCCATATTATCACTGTTTTTGGAGCTTGTTTCTGCAAAATAAGTAACCATGGGCCCCAAGAAAGCTTCTAGTGCCAACCATTCAAGAAAAAAGGTGCTAATGACTATTGAAATGAAGAAAGAGATAATTGCAAAGTACGAAACTGGAGTGCGTGTGTCGGAGTGCATGATGATTTGGTAAAGAAATTGCCTGCAACTAGTGGTGATGTGAGTGAATTTAAGGCCAGCAAAGGTTGGTTTGAAAGATTTAAGAATTGTAGTGGCATACACAGTGTGGTAAGGCATGGTGAGGCTGCCAGTTCAAGTCCTAATGGAAGGGGATTCCCTTTCTGAACACTAACACCATCCACACTCTCCCCTCCTCCCATCCCATCAATCATCACCAGATCTTCATTAAAGGTAAGTGTCAATTATTCTATTGTTATTGTAATTATTCTATTGCATTAAACTTAATATTTCATGTGGTACAATTTTTTTTTCCATACTTTTGGGCGTCTTGCACGGATTAATTTGATTTCCATTATTTCTTAAGGGGAAAATTAATTCAACTTTCGATATTTTCGACATTTGATGGCTCTCAGGAACGGATTTATATCGAATGTCGGGGGTCCACTGTAGTACAACACTTTTATATGGTTGTGAAGCTGGAGTTGTAAATGCCGCAGTGAGGAGGCGGTTGGAGGCAGTGGAGATGTCCTGTCTCAGGCCAAAGTGTGGTGTGAATATCAGACAGAAAATTCGGAGTGTGGAAATTAGGAGAAGGTGTGGAGTTAATAAAAGTATTAGTCAGAGGGCTGAAGAGTGGTTGTTGAGGTGGTTTGGTCATTCGGAGAGAATGGATCAAAGCAGAATGACATGGAGTGTATAAATCTGTAAAGGAAGGAAGGCAGGGTAGGGATCGTCCTCAAAAAGGTTGGAGGGAGGGGGTAAAGGAGGTTTTGTGGGCTTGGGGCTTGGACTTCCAGCAAGTGTGCATGAGTGTGAATGGAGAAGAATGGTATTTGAGACCTGACGAGCTGTTGGAGTGAGAGCAGGGTAATATTTAATGAAGGGATTCAGGGAAACCGGTTATTTTACATAACTGGACTTGAGTCCCGGAAATGGTAAGTACAATGCCTGCACTTTAAAGGAGGGGTTTGAGATATTGGCAGTTTGGAAGGACATGTTGTGTATCTTTATACGTACATGCTTCTAAGCTGTTGTATTCTGAGCGCCTCTGCAAAAACAGTGATTATGTGTGAATGAGGTGAAAGTGTTGAATGATGATGAAAGTATTTTCTTTTTTGGGATTTTCTTTCTTTTTTAGGTCACTCTGCCTTGGTGGGAGGCAGCCAACTTGTTGAAAAAAAAAAATATACATATATATATATAATGGAAAAACTTTCGTTTTTCCTTTTGGGCCACCCTGCCTCAGAGGGATATGGCCAATTTGTTGATAGTAGTAGTACTTTACTGAATATACCAGGTAAAGTGTACGGTAGGATTATTATTGAAAGATAGAGAGCAGGATTGCAGATGAACAAGGCTTTAGAACAGGTACGGGATATCACATTGAAGAGAGGGAGCATGGAAGAAGTAAATGCATTCAGATATTTAGGAGCAGACTTGTCAGCAGATGGGTTTATGAAGAACGAGGTAAACCACAGAACTGAAGGAAAAAAGGTGGGTGGTGCATTGAGGTATCTCTGGAGGCAAAGCACACTATCCATAGAGGCTAAGAAGGGAATGTAAGGGAGTATAGTGGTACCAACACTCTTAAACGGGTGTGACGCATGGGTTGTATATGCTGCAGTGAGAAGTAGGCTGGAGGCAGTGGAGATGTCATGTTTAAGGGCATGTGTGGTGTCAATATTATGCAGAGAATTTGTAGTGTGGAAATTAGGTGGTGGTGTGGAGTTACTAAAAGTATTAGTCAAAAGGCCTAAGAGGTGCTGTTGAGGTGGTTTGGTCATTTAGAGAGAATGGAGCAAAACAGGATGACTTGGAGAGCATATAAATCTGTAGTGGAGGGAAGGAGGGGTAAGGGTCGTCCTAGAAAAAGACGGATGGAGGAGGTAAAAGAGGTTTCGTGTGAAAGGGGCTTGGACATTCAGCAGGCATGTGTCAGTGTGTTAGATAGGAATGAGTGGAGATGAATGGTTTTTGGGACCTGACGAGTTGTTGGAGTATGAGCAGGGTAATATTTTGTGAAGTGATTCAGGGAAATCAGTTAGCCAGACTTGAGCCCTAGAGGTGGGAAATACAATGCCTGCACTTTAAAGGAGGAGTTTAGGATATTTGATGTTTGGAGTGACATCTGAATTGTTGTATCTGTGCATCTCTGCAAAGACAGTGATTATGTGTGAATGATGGTGAAAGTGTTGAATGAAGGTGAAAGTGTTTCCTTTCTGGGTCCCACTGCCTTGATGGGAGATGGCCAATGTGTTAAAAAAAAATACAAATATCCACACATGTATACATATTTTTTTTTTTTTCAACAAGTCGGCAGTCTCCCATATATCCCTATAAATACATATACTGTACATGGCATTTGAAAATAACTTTACATAAATTTCTGACCTCAAGCAACACTAAATGATGCTCATAACACTACCGGTAATTTGATTTCAGTCGATGTTTGTGTTGACGAATGCTCTGCAACTTGAGAAGTTCCTGAGTCACCATCTTCCTCAGGGATTACATCAGCCCGAAGGGGGACTCCACTTTCCTGGTTTTGATTAATGTTTGCTGATGATTCAACATCAGCAGTTCCACAGGAACCTGTCTCTGTGCTATAATACACAAAAAGAGTCATCTATAAAAAATAAAAACAAATGGCAAATGAACCCTATGTACCAATTCACCTTATTACTACACAAGTTTCTTTATATTCTTGTCACAAACCAATACATGTATTTCCATAGTGAAAGTGAAATAAGATGTACCCCACTTTATCTAGTACTGATATGATCACACTAACTTCTTATTCAAGTATTGTATTTTGAACAAAGTTCTGAATCTCCAGCACTTGAAAATGTTAAATTGGTTGTCAAATAAAACGTGTCAGTAAAAAATTCTGCTAGTCATATCTTGTTACTCTGAAAATTGTCATGTACCACCAAAGCCTCAAAAACAATAAAATTAGGTCCTGAAACCATTTATAAGAAATATGTATGTACCATATGTACCAAATTATTTATGTACAGAAAGAAAAAAAGTTATCATCACACAAATGTTGATTACTCAACTTGTCCCATTATACAATATTTCTACTGTAACTTATTAACTTCCCAGTTCTTCATCTCTATTTAATCACTCTACAAAACTTAAGATTAATGAATCAATTTGAAAAAATAAGTCATAATTTTAAAATTGTACCATTTGTTCATTAACGACCTTTCTTATTGTGCATATAATTGTGGGTAATTGCATGAGAAATACTTAATAGTCTGTGTCTAATTCTTAAGTAGTCTTTATACATTAGGATCAGTTTACTAGAAGTGCACTGCATACTCGTGGCTTGCTTATGTACCCAACAATGTTTAATATGTAAATTACATTATTTTTGTACCACATAAAAAAAATAAAAATTTAAATTTGAATTTTGAATAAGAGCTGATAGCAGTGGATGAAGTGTGAAGGAATTATTATTTTTAAAATTTATTTACTTCAATGGCCATCTCCCACTAAATCAGGATGACCCAAAAAGGAAACATTTTTAACCATCATACATTCGACTGCAATCTTGCTAAAAATGTGCTGCATCAATATTCAGATTACCCTCTGACTGTAACATCCCAAACCCTCCTTCATACAGTAGGCACTATCATTCACACTTCCAGGATTCAAGTTCAGTTATTATTATTGCAGTAGTCCCTTGTGTTGTGATATTAATCTGTTCCAAAAGATGCATCGCATCTCCAAAACATCATAACTCAAACCCCAAATACATGATTTCATGGTATGTAATACATTCCAAGGGAAGGCAGGATATAGGCAAGGAGGGAGGCAGAGAGGCAAGCAGGCCGAGATGGATGCAGGGAGAGATGCAGGGAGGGATGCAGGGAGAGAAGCGGCCCATCACTTTGTTTTCACGTGGGTACTGCCTTCCTTTCCTCCCACTCTTAACCCTTTCAGTGGCTGATGCATAGAAATAGGTCACTGAAATCATGGTTTCTGACAAAGATCTACACCTAGATGTTTAGTAACTTTAAATTTAGTGAAAGAGGCCTGGTAGGCCTCTGTGGGAGATAGCCATTATGTTAAAAAATAAATAAATTGGGTACCAAGTGCTTATAAGACAGGAAGTATAACTGGGCATATTTATTTTGTAAAAACTGCAAATTATGGCTGGTAATATATGGTAATTATGTAAGTACTGGTACTTTTAACAGTTTACATTTAATTAATTCTAGACAAAATGGTACCCTGCCACTTACTTCTTCACCTGTCCTGGCATGGAAACCCTGGCTGCTTCAGTGTTTCTAGTCTGTCCAGAACGCACACTGAAAATGCAAATATATTTTTATAAAATACTAAAAATATATATATCTAGTTTCATTTAATCTTCAAACTTTAATCATACTGGAAGTATATCACCCCTAGTGCTAACCTGGGACCCCTAGGGATTGGAGAACAAACATACTTCAGGTTAAAAAAAAAAAAAACTGAAGATTTCTTCCCGGAGTAGTTGAAGTGTTTTCTTTCCCTTCTGTGAAAGGTCCTAAAATCTGAAACTCTCTCCTTGCAGACTCCAAAAGTTTCTTATCTGCCAACTGCTACAAAGCTTAAAAAAAACTTCCTTGCCATAATGTGATGTTGTCAGCAATACACTTACTCAACCAAATCCTGAAACAACCTGTTTTTATCCAATCTTATCCTTGTTCTTTCTTTAAATTTTCCTTCAACACTCATATATTGTTAGATAGGCATATTCTATCTCATATTTTGGACTGTAATTCAAGTAACTAGTACCACTCACCCTGTTAAACTAACAATTATATTTTCATAATGTGATTCTTTTATGAATTAGCTTGTAACTTGTACCAGTATTTAAGTTCATACTAATACTGTGCATTAGGCCCTTAGAGAAAAAATATTAATGAAAAATTAAATACAGTAGGGCCCAGCTTTATGGTGTTTCACTAATATGGACATTTCAAATTATAATCAAAACTCGCTATACTGCTCCCCTCAACCTGACTCTAATATGGTCACCGTGCACCACCCATCTCTCCATTATGTCTGGAAATTTTCCAAAATTTCAAGTGTTTTAACCCTTGCACTGTCGAGACCCTTGCTAACAAACTTGCTTTCATTGTCGAACAATTTTTCAAAAAAAAAAAAAAAAAAAAAAAAAATCTCATGAAATGATTGAGAATACTTTTCCATAGATAATGAAACCAAAAGCACGAAATTTAATGGAAAACTTACGGAATTACACTCTCACAAATTTTGAGGTTTCAGCGATATTTACGCATAGGCGATTTTGTCCATTTTGAGCCCTATTTTGGGCCAATTCCATTGATACAGTCAACTACATTCATAGCTATTTCTCTAGCACTCCTTTTGTTCTATCAAGTGAGTACAAGAAACAGCCTATTTCCCTATTTCAACTACCCGATAAAGTGATCAGAAATTCGTAATTTGGCCAATTTCGTACAAAATTCAAGACAGGCCAATTTCATACAAAATTCAAGACAGGCCAATTTCAAAATATGGTCCAGAATAAATAATGCAAACATTCCTAGCACTAACATTTTCTCTGTTCATTAGTCACATCTCTAGGCCCCTCTTATATTATGCTTGCTTTCCATTTGAATTTTTATTCATACACTTGGAAAATCCTAGAGGGATTAGTACCAAATTTGCACACGAAAATCACTCCCTATGAAAGCAAAAGACTCGGCAGACGATGGAACATCCCCCAATGAAAAGCAGGGGTGCCTCTAGCATGATAAGAGACAACACAATAAGTGTCAGGAGCCCAAGACTGCTCAATTGCCTTCCAGCATACATAAGGGGGATTAAAAATAGACCCCTGGCTGTTTTCAAGAAGGCTTTGGACAGGCACCTAAAGTCAGTACCCGACCAGCCAGGCTGTGGTTCATACGTCGGTTTGCGTGAGGCCAACAGTCACAGCCTGGTTGATCAGGCCCTGATCCACCATAATGCCTGGTCAGACCAGGCCACGGGGGACATTGACCCCTGAAACCCTCTTCAGGTATACTCCAGGCATACACAAAAAAATAGAAGATTTACTGTTATGCAGACTACTGCATTATTGTAAAAATGGTATAAGTATTATCATTGCATTTTTGAAAGCATATCTGACCCACCAGTTAATGTGTATTGGATGTGTGACGTCATTTGTTTACTCTTGAACACTGTCAAAAATTGAACATTTCAGCTACTTTTACTCTGTAAACCATTCAAAATTATCTCTATTTCTGTAGTATATCTCCCATTCTATCAATTGAGACCAAGAAAACGAGAATACACCCATAAATACCACACAAAAATACACCACAGAGTCACTGTTTTAAACCAAAACCATGGTCACAGTTTTTTCTTTTCTCATTATGCACTGTGTGCTGCAGGACTTTTTTCATACTGTGCATACTGACCACTCAGACCCATTCTCTCATATGTAGGCCTAGCAGCTTTCTCCTGCAAGATTGGAAGCCACTAGAATTTTGGCGTAGTATTATGAGACCGACACTGGCTTCAAAACCGTAATATTATGGGACTGACAGTGAAAGGGTTAGTTATTGCGTACGTATTTTATATTTTTTTATTATATTTATTATCACAGTGGCCGATTCCCACCAAGGCAGGGTGGCCCGAAAAAGAAAAACTTTCACCATCATTCACTCCATCACTGTCTTGCCAGAAGGGTGCTTTACACTACAGTTTTTAAACTGCAACATTAACACCCCTCCTTCAGAGTGCAGGCACTGTACTTCCCATCTCCAGGACTCAAGTCCGGCCTGCTGGTTTCCCTGAACCCCTTCATAAATGTTACTTTGCTCACACTCCAACAGCACGTCAAGTATTAAAAACCATTTGTCTCCATTCACTCCTATCAAACACGCTCACGCATGCCTGCTGGAAGTCCAAGCCCCTCGCACACAAAACCTCCTTTACCCCCTCTCTCCAACCTTTCCTAGGCCGACCCCTACCCCGCCTTCCTTCCACTACAGACTGATACACTCTTGAAGTCATTCTGTTTCACTCCATTCTCTCTACATGTCCGAACCACCTCAACAACCCTTCCTCAGCCCTCTGGACAACAGTTTTGGTAATCCCGCACCTCCTCCTAACTTCTGGAATGAAAAAATATCGTTAACCGAGGTTCCACTGTACTACTCATCTCTCACCCTACATTAAGATTACAAATATTTTAAGGTAAGTAATGAATGTACTGTGTATGTATTCAACGCTTTATTGTTTTTAATGCCTAGTTCTACTGTTAGTTTAATATATGTTGGTATAAACTTGTTATCTGGCTTCTGTATGCATTTATAAGTGGACAAAATGGTGTTCTGCTTTCCTGGTGAGGTCCACTTTCCGGCAGTAACCTGGAACCTAACCTGTGATGTAAGTAGAGCCCTACTGTACAACATAAAACTGAGTAAATTTTTTCAGAACAGTATAGTCTGACTTTTACCTTTGATGCTATGCATTCTATGTTCTTTCTGGTTATTGTATGTCCTGGGCTGTAATACTGAACTATAAATTAATATTTGTATTTTCCCAACTATTGCAATAACTGCTATGAATGTTATAACAAATTATTTTACTAAAACTTCTAATAAACTGTTTTGCAAAAAAGTCCAGAAGTTGTAATTTTATTTTAAGGCTACCTGAAATACTTTGCATAACCAGGTGCTTTCTATTCCTGAATCAACAGTAAATTATACAGTAGAAGCTCAGTTTTCATCTTCAATTCGTTCCAGAAAGTCTGACGAAAACCGAATTTGACGAAAACTGAGGCAATATTTCCCATGAGAAATAATGTAAATCTAATTAATCCGTTCCACACACCCAAAAGTATTAACAAAAAATACATTTTGTAGGCAATAACTATAGTTTTACATACAGAAAACAATGAGAAATAAATATAAAGGACTAATAAAATGGATAAATGAACATTTAATATAACTTTTACCTTTACTGGCAACTCTTGTTGGCATTGGAAGACAGCGAGGAGAGGAGAGGGAGGAGAGGGTATTGTTTGAAAGGGGGAATCCCCTTCCATAAGGACTTCAGGTATCAAATCCCTATCCAGGGTAACTTACCTTCTTTGTGTTTTACTGCCACTAGGAGCAGCTTGAGAGTCACTGGACCCCTGTCACAAAAAATCTGTCCAAAGAGGTCTGTGTCTGGTGTCTCTTTAAGATTTGCCTAAAATGGGACACGGCATTGTCATTGAACGTGTTGTAGACATCGCTTGCAACAGCTTTGTTAAGGTGATATTTCTCCACAAAACTTTGCAACTCGCTTCACTTTGCACACATGTCCTTAATCACTGAAGAAAGCACATTCTCCCCTCTCTCTTCCTCCTTCTCTGAAGCAATTTCCTCAGCTGTGATCTATTGCTGTTCCAGATGAAGGTGTTGCAGCTCTTCAGTGGTTAGGTCTTCCCTGTGGTCATCCACCAACTCTTCCACATCCCAGTCACTCACATCCAACCCAGTACAGTGGTCCCTCGTTTTTCGTAATTAATCCGTTCCCGGAGCCGTTACTATAAACAAAATTCACGATTTACGAATCAATTTTCCCCATAAGAAATAATGTAAATACAATTAATCCGTTCCTGACACCCAGAAGTATTAAAACAAAAAATTTTTTAACATGAAATATACATGTAGTAGATAAACAATACAATGGGAAATGATGAATGAAACATTAACAGCATAACACTTACCTTTATTGGAGATTCTTCTTAGTGTATGGGAGACTGGAGGAGGAGAGAGAGAGTGGATTGTTTATAGTTTGGAAGGGGAATCCCCTTCCATCAACACCTCAGGTACCATTTGTTTTTCTGGGGTTGCTTCTCTTCTCTGTTTCTTAATGCCACTAGGACCACCTTGAGAGTCACTGGAGTTCTGTCTCACAAAATAACTGTGGAGAGAGCTCTGTTTCTGGCGTCTCTTTAATACTTCCCTAAAATGGCCCAAGACTTTGTCACTGTAAATGTTGCCAACCTGGCTTGCAACAACCTTGTTAGGGTGATGTTTCTCCATAAAGCTTTCCATCTTACCCCACATAGTAAAAATCTCTTTAATTTCTGAAGAAGGCACCTTCTTCCATCTCTCTTCCTCCTCCTCTGCAGCAAGATTCTGAGCTGCGATGTGTTGCTCTTCCTGCTGAAGCTCTTGCAGCTCCTCAGTGGTGAGCTCTTCATTGTGGTCTTGCACCAATTCTTCCACATCCTCCAAACTCGCATCCAACCCCATGGAACTCCCCAGTGCCACAATTGATTTTACAACAGACATAGGCTCATTAGGGTCAGTCCCAAATCCTTCAAAATCCCTCTTGTCGACACAATCTGGCCACAATTTTCTCCAGGCAGAGTTCAAAGTCCAGGTAGTCACTCCCTCCCAAGCCATACCTATAAGGGTTATGCAATGGAGGATGCTGAAGTGTTCTCTCCAAAATTCCCTTAGGGTCAAGTGAGTGTCTGTAGTCACAATCAAGCACCTGTGAAACATTGCTTTTGTGTAGAGTTTTTTAAAGTTTGCAATAACCTGCTGGTCCATGGGTTGGAGGAGAGGAGTGGTATTCGGGGGCAAGAACTTCACTGTGATGAACCCAAACTCCTCGAAAATTAGGTCATCCAAGTTTGGAGGATGAGCAGGTGCATTGTCCATTACAAGCAGGCACTTGAGATCCAATTTCTTTTCCAGGAGATACTCCTTCACACTAGGGCCAAACACTTCATTGAACCACTCGACGAAAATTTCCCTCGTGACCCATGCCTTACTATTAGATTTCCAAAACACACACAATTTACTCTTCATAACATTTTTTTCCTGAACACTCTGGGATTTTCAGAATGGTACATTAGTAATGGCTTCACTTTGAAATCCCCACTACCATTAGCACAGAACATTAGCATCAGCCTGTCTTTCATAGGCTTGTGTCCTGGCATTGCCTTTTCCTCTTGTGTAATGAAGGTCCTCTTTGGCATTTTCTTCCAAAAGAGGCCTGTTTCATTACAATTGAACACTTGTTCAGGTTTCAGTCCTTCAGCCTCTATGTACTCCTGGAATTCATGCACATATTTTTCAGCCGCCTTGTGGTCCGAACTGGCAGCCTCATCATGCCTTACCACACTGTGTATGCCAGTACGGTTCTTAAATCTCTCAAACCAGCCTTTGTTGGCCTTAAATTCACTCACATCACCACTTTTTGCAGGCAATTTCTTTACCAAATCTTCATGCAACTGCCTAGCCTTTTCACAAATAATCGAAGTCATAAGAGTATCTCCTGCTAATTGTTTCTCATTTATCCACACCAATAATAACTTCTCAACCTCTTCCAGTACTGGTGATCTCATTTTTGTCAGCATAGTTACTCCCTTTGCAACAACAGCATCCTTTATTTCATTTTTCTTGGCCACTATGGAACGTAAGGTTGTGTAGGGTTTCTTATACATCCTGGACAGTTCGGCCACACTTGTACCACTTTCATATTGTTCAATGATGGTTTTCTTAAATTCAATTGTATTTCTCACCTTCTTTACCACAGGCTTGGCACTAGGAGCTTTCTTTGGAGCCATGGTAGCTTATTTAGTACTTGCAAGCACTAAAATAAATGGAATATTATGAAATATTTCGCTGGAGCACGTGAGGGGACCTTCACTCACTGGTAAACAATGCCAGACTGGCTGCCGCCCCGACTCACGCTGTGGGTACGCGTCCCGGACGAACTACGACTCGCGAGTCAACCTACGAAAAGCGAGTCCATGTTTATACGAAAATACCCCTATGATTGGCGAAATTTACGATTGCCGGGAACTACAAAAAGCGGGGGACCACTGTACTTTGCTAAGTGTTTTGAATTCTATCGTGTTTCTCGCCTTCTTTATCAAAGGGCTGGCACTTGAAATTTTCTTTGGCTCCATGGTGGCTTATTTAGCAGTCGCACTCAATAAACAAGCACAAAAAACAATGAACGCGCAGGGCAGTGTTCACTTGATGAGAAACAAGACCAGACTGACTCAGAACGCATACGTGGGATACTGTGTGTGGGCGCAGGTGGGCAGACACGTTCGGTACGGCAGTGATAAACTGAGGTGATGAACGAAAACTGGGGTAAAATTTTGATGAAAAGAGTCATCGAAAACCAAATTCAATGAAAACCAGGGCAAACAAAAACCGAGGTTCCAATGTACGTACTTGCTAGAAATAAGGTTAGTTATTTATCATACCACCCCCTATATCTGAATTCAGTACTAATACAAACCTACAGGTAACTGTACCAGTTCTGCTCTTCCACCTTAACTTAAGGCCAGGCTTCCCTGGTGACTTCTTAATTAGAAATATTCAGAAGAAACATACATTTAGCAATTGTGGTACTGCAACATTCCTTCTTTCTTTTCTTTGATATACTTATACCTTTGATGAGTTTCAAGAGTCTACTCCTGGAGCCCGGCCATGGGCAAGGCTCGTCTGCATGGTAAAATAACTTAACAGTAATTCAATGGGGTGCCAGGCCTGAAACCCAAGGTCTCAGATTACCAGTCCAACCCTAGCACTATACTACAGGTGAATAACAATACTCCAACCTTTCTTTCATACGATTGTTTATCCTGGCTATTAAATATTGGCTGTAAATTTATGTACGTGTGCACTTGTTTCTAGTACAGCCTCTCCTCACTTAGTGACATACTCATTTACCAACGACTCAGACTTATGATGGGCTCTCTGACCAGTATGCATACCCAAATAATGTATATTAGAGCTGATTTCCTCTATTCTGTTTATTACAATATACAGTACACTACTGTATAAACATTTAAAAATATACTGAAAATGTTATAAATTGTGCAAATGTGACATTAAAACAACATGAAAGATGGCTGACACAAACCCACTACCATTATAGTAGGCTCCTTGCTAAACGATGAATTAGTTTACCGATGTGGTCTTAGAAACAGAACTCTGTCGTTAAGTGAGGAGATGCTGTACTTGGAGAAGTAAAAAGTATAAAAAAAAATAAAAAGGTAAAAGAAATTTAAAAAATACAAACCTCCACTCAATGGCATTCTGAAGTGAATTGAAATTCTGTGGGCGGCCTCGCAGGAAACTCTGCATGGAGCTGAGAGCATCCATGGCTGTGCCTTCCACAACATCTATAACCACCAAACCTGCAAGACCTGCAAAAATATATCGAAGGTAACATGAGGATAAGTTGAATTTAAACCAGTGCCTTGAAAGGATTAGTGCAGTGGCACTAGAAACATGCTCTTGACTCAAACACCTTAAGAAAATCAGGGTGATGCAGGTTAGAAAAAGAATGATGTACCCTCTATAAACTGTGACAAAAGAATCACAGTTCTCCAACATTCCAGTTTTGCCAGGAGTCGACTGCTGGGCTGCTAGATAGAGCTGCATGTATTCCCACTGCCTCAGAGCACAATATTTAAACAAGTAATGCAGAAAATTCCTAAGTACTACAATACAAATCATCAATTATCCAATCACTTCATTTTTCACATCCTTTTTGTCCATTGTCTGTTTAGGTGCTGGATCAAGCATGACCACCAGATAATTACAGTTAAAATCCTGAGAATATAAAACAGTAAAAGAGAATCCATAGGTCTCTAATGCAGAATTCAACTGTATAGCATTATTATCCAACCTTTACTGCATTACTGTATCCTCTTCTCCAATCACATGAACAATTATACCTTGAATTTGCTACTGTATTGATATCAACACTGTTAACCCCTTTCACTGTCCATCAAGTAAAACTATATTATTGACACCAGAGTTCATTACGCAGATCTGCGTCATAAGCTCAGCTCATTTGTATATAAGTTGTGAGTGGTCAAGTTTGGCCTAGATATGAGAAAATGTGTCTGTGCGGTGAATCTGCACAGTGTATAAAAAATTTCTGCCTCGCACAGTGCATGATGAGAAAAGCATAACTCTGACCTTGTGTTCGTTTTTATATAGCAAATTTGAGGTGTTTTCTAGGGTTGTTATAATTTTATTGGGTGTTTCTTGGTATTACTTGATAGAATGAAAGACATACTACTGAAAGAGATCATCATAGTTAGTTCCAGGACCAGAAGTAGCTTGAAATTGGCCTCATAGTAACATATATTAGTTTTGTCAATATTCATGATGGGTAAGGGCTCCCCCCCCCACACTCCTTGGTCTGTATTACGAGATTTTACTATGTCTAATTCAATTATTGAGATATCATAAACTATAACTGGTCATTGCTGGTTATAATTTTATTATCCAAGAAATAAGATAAATTTTTGATCTTTTGAATGATGATGAATTAAAAAAGGTAGGCACATGTTATATAGGAGAGGCCTGGGGATGTGATTAACAAACAAAGGAACTTGTTTTAGTGCCTTATTTTTATTGCTGATTTTGGAGAGTCTTTAAATTTAAATTTTTAATTTCACATAAAACTGGCCAAATTCCCAACTTCTAGGCACTGCATAGGGCAGTTTTGATAGTTGACTGGGCAGTTGCCTGTGTTCATTTGACAGAATGGAAGGCATACAAGAGAAATAGCTAAGAATCTGATCAAACTGCATAACAGAATTGGCTTAAACTAGGACTCGATGTCAGCAATATTGCCAATGCAAAATTTGCACCTTGACTACTAACTTTCTGCCTGCATAATTCCATACGTTTTCCATCAAATTTTATAATTTTGGTGTCATTACCTTCAAAAATTATTCTCTATCATTTCAAAAGAGAAAATATTTTATTTCTGGAATAACATGGACACCGGGCACTTTTAATCTTGGGGATTTGGACAGTGAAAGGATTAAAGTGTAAAAAAAAAAAATAGTACTATACTGTAATACTGCATTTTGATTCAACACAAGATGTATGTAATACAGTATGGCACATTACTGCTAAAATATTCTCAATGCCTTCTGCTAGTTTAGTAAAGAATAATGAACTTTACTATAAAAATTTTTGTACCTAAAGTCAGTTTTATTGAAAGAAAAACATTAATAGTGAACATGTACACTATAAGCTATAATTCAAACCAACCAGCAACATAACCGTAGTATGCAGTGTGGACAGCAATTGCTCCACCCATACTGTGGCCAATGAGCACACATGGTGGCTGCTGGGACCCATATACAGCATCCACTACACGACCAATGTCACTGCCAATAAGAAAATATTATGTACATTAAAGTCATTAACATAATGAAAGAAAAACATTAATTGTAAAATGATTATCTAAAAAACTTTGATAGTACAGGAAACTATAGTGATGATTAACCCTTTCAGGGTCGCCAGGCCCTCTCCGAGACTTGTTCTCAGGGTCGCCAAATTTTAAAAAAAAAAAAAAAAAAAAAAAAATTTATTATGAAAAGATAGAGAATCTTTTCCCGATCATAATGACACCAAAAGTATGACATTTGATGTTAAACTTACGGAATTATGCTCTCGCGAAGTTAGTGGTCTCGACGATGTTTACGCATCGGCGATTTTGCCCACTTTGAGCCCTATTTTTGGCCAATTCCAGTGTACTAGTCAACAAAAATCATAACTATTTCTCGAGAACTCCATTTTTTCTATTGAATGAGTACAAGAAACCACCCATTTACCAATTTCAACTATCCAATAAAGTGGTCAGAATTTAGCAATTTTGCCAATTTCACACAAATTTCAAAAGATGCCAATTTCCAAACAGGGTCCAGAATAAACAAGAAAGACATTCCTGGCACTAAAATAACATTTCCTCTGTTCATTAGTCACGTCCCCACGCCCCTCTTACATTGTTTTGCTTTCCACTTTGAATTTTTATTCTCACAAAAAATAGAAGATTTACTGTTATGCAGACTACTGCATTAGTATAGAAATGGTATAAATAATATCAGCGCACTTGTGAAAGAATATCAGACTCACCAGTTGACGTGTATTGGATGCATAGCATGATTTGTTTACTTTTGAACTTTGGCAAAAATCAAACATTTCTGCTAATCTGAGCTCAATTTCAAGGTACTTTTCATTGTAAAACCAATCAAAATCGTCTCAATTTCTGTAATATGTCTTCCATTCTATAAAATGAGACCAGGAAAACTAGAATACCATCATAAATACCATACGAAAATACAGTGCAAATTCGCTGTTTTAAACCAAAAACACTGTCAAAGTTATTTTTTTCTCATTACGTATTGTGTGCTGCAGGATTTTTTTTATACTGCACAACTGACCACAGACCCATTCTTTCATATGTAGGCATACCAGCTTTCTCTCACTAGAGTTGAGGGCGCTAGAATTTTGGCGTACTAGGACGTCAAAAACCCTGGTGCGTAAGCCGTACTAGTACGTCCAAAACCCTGAAAGGGTTAAAGAATAAATAAGTACAATAAAAAATTATTGTCAAAGATGTTTGAAGACATTTAAAGTATTTTGGGGATTGTTGAATTCAAAAATGGCAGTAGGTTTTTCAAACTGGCTATAGTTTGTGAGATATTGCATACCTACCCTCAATTAACAGGGAACTTAGCCATAACATGTGTATATGTAGTGTTAAAAACTAGAAAATGCAAGGAAATTGAAAACATATTAAACATTACAAAATGTCAATCTCCAATGTTTATTGTCAACTGGTTAACAGCCTTCAACTTCATGTCTTGATATATCAGTAAGTACTGATGGGAATATTTTTGGGGTTTCATTAAACACAGAAAACTATGGTCTTTTTTATGATTTTTTTTTCCTAAAAATCACAACACTGACAGTGCTATTAATTTCAGGGGTCACAACAGTGAAAAGGTTAAAGACAATAAAACTCACGTGACTACAATACATTCAAATATGTAATTACCAACTAACTGTTCTCTATTAAAGAGAAGAGTATACAAGTACACACACCTAGCAAGAGTTTCAGCAGAAAGATCCACATTATCTGAGGTCTGAGTGTCCCCATGTCCTCGTTGATCAATGGCTATCAGCTGGCACTCTACCATCTCACTGACATTTTCCTGCAATGCATAACATGCAATTTCAAAGAATTTATTACAAAGTAGAAGTGATGCAAGGAGGGAAGAGTATATGGAGAAAAAGAGAGAGGTTAAGAGAGTGGTGAAGCAATGTAAAAAGAGAGCAAATGAGAGAGTGGGTGAGATGTTATCAACAAATTTTTTTGAAAATAAGAAAAAGTTTTGGAGTGAGATTAACAAGTTAAGGAAGCCTAGAGAACAAATGGATTTGTCAGTTAAAAATAGGAGAGGAGAGTTATTAAATGAGAGTTAGAGGTATTGGGAAGATGGAGGGAATATTTTGAGGATTGTTAAATGTTGATGAAGACAGGGAAGCTGTGATTTCGTGTATAGGGCAAGGAGGAATAACATCTTGAAGGAGTGAGGAAGAGCCAGTTGTGAGTGTGGGGGAAGTTCGTGAGGCAGTAGGTAAAATGAAAGGGGGTAAGGCAGCCAGGATTGATGGGATAAAGATAGAAATGTTAAAAGCAGGTGGGGATATAGTTTTGGAGTGGTTGGTGCAATTATTTAATAAATGTATGGAAGAGGGTAAGGTACCTAGGGATTGGCAGAGAGCATGCATAGTTCCTTTGTATAAAGGCAGAGGGGACAAAAGAGAGTGCAAAAATTATAGGGGGATAAGTCTGTTGAGTATACCTGGTAAAGTGTATGGTAGAGTTATTATTGAAAGAATTAAGAGTAAGACAGAGAATAGGATAGCAGATGAACAAGGAGGCTTTAGGAAAGGTAGAGGGTGTGTGGACCAGGTGTTTACAGTGAAACATATAAGTGAACAGTATTTAGATAAGGCTAAAGAGGTCTTTGTGGCATTTATGGATTTGGAAAAGGTGTATGACAGGGTGGATAGGGGGGTAATGTGGCAGATGTTGCAAGTGTATGGTGTAGGAGGTAGGTTACTGAAAGCAGTGAAGAGTTTTTACAAGGATAGTGAGGCTCAAGTTAGAGTATGTAGGAAAGAGGGAAATTATTTCCCAGTAAAAGTAGGCCTTAGACAAGGATGTGTGATGTCACCGTGGTTTTTTAATATATTTATAGATGGGGTTGTAAGAGAAGTAAATGCAAGGGTCTTGGCAAGAGGCGTGGAGTTAAAAGATAAAGAATCACACAAAGTGGGAGTTGTCACAGCTGCTCTTTGCTGATGACACTGTGCTCTTGGGAGATTCTGAAGAGAAGTTGCAGAGATTGGTGGATGAATTTGGTAGGGTGTGCAAAAGAAGAAAATTAAAAGTGAATACAGGAAAGAGTAAGGTTATGAGGATAACAAAAAGATTAGGTGATGAAAGATTGGATATCAGATTGGAGGGAGAGAGTATGGAGGAGGTGAATGTATTCATATATTTGGGAGTGGACGTGTCAGCGGATGGGTCTATGAAAGATGAGGTGAATCATAGAACTGATGAGGGGAAAAGGGTGAGTGGTGCACTTAGGAGTCCTTGGAGGCAAAGAGGGGAATGTATGAGAGTATAGTTTTACCAGCGCTCTTATATGGGTGTGAAGCATGGGTGATGAATGTTGCAGCGAGGAGAAGGCTGGAGGCAGTGGAGATGTCATGTCTGAGGGCAATGTGTGGTGTGAATATAATGCAGAGAATTCGTAGTTTGGAAGTTAGGAGGAGGTGCGGGATTACCAAAACTGTTGTCCAGAGGGTTGAGGAAGGGTTGTTGAAGTGGTTTGGACATGTAGAGAGAATGGAGCAAAACAGAGTGACTTCAAGAGTGTATCAGTCTGTAGTGGAAGGAAGGCGGGGTAGGGGTCGGCCTAGGAAAGGTTGGAGGGAGGGGGTAAAGGAGGTTTAGTGTGCGAGGGGCTTGGACTTCCAGCAGGCATGCGTGAGCGTGTTTGATAGGAGTGAATGGAGACAAATGGTTTTCAATACTTGACGTGCTGTTGGAGTGTGAGCAAAGTAACATTTATGAAGGGGTTCAGGGAAACCGGCAGGCCGGACTTGAGTCCTGGAGATGGGAAGTACAGTGCCTGCACTCTGAAGGAGGGGTGTTAATGTTGCAGTTTAAAAACTGTAGAGTAAAGCACCCTTCTGGCAAGACAGTGATGGAGTGAATGATGGTGAAAGTTTTTCTTTTTCGGGCTACCCTGCCTTGGTGGGAATCGGCCAGTGTGATAATAAAAAAAAATAAAATAGATTACTTTATATTTAAATGTAGTTGTTACAACAAAGTGCAAAGTATTCAGAGTTCTTTGAAACACTGGATAAATAAGCACACATGTGGTTTTTGGTCATAAATAAAAAAAAATGATACAGGAAGTCGAAGAGGTAATGAAATACGTGAAATCAGGAGGCAGAATCAAGTACTCAACATAAGCACATAAAGACAACATTTCTGACATACCATAATTCTTTATTTTCAGTTGTATATGCATCTAGAACACAGTACAGTGGACCCTCAAGTTTCGGCAGCCTCAACTTTCGTGAAATTCGACCTTCAGCGAGTTTCTTTGGAAAAATATGGCCTCGAGTCTCGTGAAAAAACTCGTGTTTCGGTGACCGTCCGGTACCCGTCCGCCCATCACCGTGCACACAAAGCCAGTCTCCCACGCCATTCTCGCTCAGTGTAACATTGTTTACCAACACGTGACCATCACCCCGTGGGTTCATACAATACATTTCACAATAATCCATTGTTTTTTGTGCTTGCAACTGCTAAATAAGTCATCATGGGCCCAAAGAAAGCTAGTGCAAGCCCTTTGGTAAATAAAGTGAGTGACAGGGACGTGGAAGAGTTGGTGGAGGACCACAGGGAAGAGCTAACCACTGACGAACTGCAGGAGCTTCAACTGGAACAGCATCAGACCACAGCCGAGGAACTTGCTTCAGAGGAGGAGGAAGAGGTAGTGGATGAGGTGCCTTCTTCAGTGATTAAGGACATGTGTGGAATGTGGAATGAGTTGCAAAATTTTGTTGAAAAGTATCACCCTGACCAAGCTGAAACAAGCCATATGTGCAACATGTACAGTGACAGTGTTGTGTCCCACTTCAGGGAAATCTTAAAGAAACGCCAGAAAAAGACCTCTCTGGACAGATATTTTGTGCGCCAGGGGTCCAGTGACTCTCAAGTTGTTCCCAGTGGCATTAAAAGAAGAAGGGAAGTAACCCCAGATAAGGACTTGCTACCTAAAGTCCTAATGGAAGGAGATTCTCCTTCCAAACAATAGTGTACACCTTCCTCCTATCACCTCCTCCCATCTTCCATCCACCCAGGAGTCTTCAGTAAAGGTAAGTGTAATGTTGTTATTATTTATTTTAAATGCATGTACTTGATTTCTGATTGTTTTCATTATGTAAATCTTTATTTAATTTGAAAAAAAAATATTTTATTTTAATCTTTTTGGGTGTCTGGAACGGATTAATTTCATTTCCCTGAGGAAGGGTTGTTGAGGTGGTTCGGACATGTAGAGAGAATGGAGCGAAACAGAATGACTTCAAGAGTGTATCAGTCTGTAGTGGAAGGAAGGCGGGGTAGGGGTCGGCCTAGGAAAGGTTGGAGGGAGGGGGTAAATGAGGTTTTGTGTGCGAGGGGCTTGGACTTCCAGCAGGCATGCGTGAGCGTGTTTGATAGGAGTGAATGGAGACAAGTGGTTTTTAATACTTGACGTGCTGTTGGAGTGTGAGCAAAGTAACATTTATGAAGGGGTTCAGGGAAACTGGCAGGCCGGACTTGAGTCCTGGAGATGGGAAGTACAGTGCCTGCACTCTGAAGGAGGGGTGTTAATGTTGCAACTGTAGTGTAAAGCACCCTTCTGGCAAGACAGTGATGGAATGAATGATGGTGAAAGTTTTTCTTTTTCGGGCCGCCCTGCCTTGGTGGGAATCGGCCAGTGTGATAATAAAAAAATATTTCTTATGGGGAAAATGGTTTCGAGTTTCGTGAATTTCGACCTTCGGCGGGCTCTATGGAACAGATTAATCACGAAACTTGGGGGTCCACTGTATTTACATTGTACCATTACATTTTTCTATTCACATTTTCAAATATATTTACCATATTTTTCACCATAAAAGGCACACTTTTCCCCCCCAAAAAGTCTTAGAAAATCACCCTGCAACTTCTATGCTGAAGGTCAGGGTCAAGAGAAGACTCTGAGTTATTGACAATTGGTATTTTTGGTGGTAACAATACATACCAGTAGTACTTTCTTTATAATAACAAAATAACACTTCTGCAAAAGCATGGCTAACAAGTCATGACAGTTTATATTGACATTTCAAGTGAACCAATGTTGGGCTAAAACATTTCCACATGTTTGAAGTACATACTAAAGCACCTTGAAATGCATCTAATATAATAAGAAACTACTGTACACAGTGTTAAACATTAAAAACAATAAAAATCTGAAAAGCAATCATAATCTTGGAAAAATAAATTGGAAAACAAAAATATTGCTGGCATACAGTACTTTAGTAAGACAGTTGAAGTAGGAAGTAAAAAAAATATATATCAGCAATGATTGATCAAGACATTTATTGAGGAAGCATTCCATCACATGTGGATTTTTCTTAGGATTGAAGAAGCTACTTGTGGCAACTGCCTTTATCAAGCTACAACTTGTAAATATCACTAAATCTGTTCCACCAAAATGTAGAATAAGATTTTATTCAGATTATTAACCCAAAGGATTTTTAATCTAGAATAACCCAACAATGTCACTATCATCAGACTGTCTAAGCTTATTTCCACTGTTTTTCAAACTCTCTCCCAGGATGCAACTCCCATAAAAATGGACTAAAACCCAGGTACCTACTTACTAAGATGAACAGGGGTAACAAGTGCAAGAAATGTGCCCATTTCCACTCACCCAGGAACCAAACCCCAGCCCTTCAGTTGTGAGCTCAGGCTAGTACCAAATGAGCCATTAGCACCCCATTCTGCATGTGAAGCTAATTTTTCTTTCTGTTAATCTTTTTCAAGAATCATTCAATTATCATTTAACAGTGTATATGTATACTATGTTAACTTAAATAAATTAATTCTGCACTCATTCCTCTTATAATCTTGAAATGCTGTATCTAGTATAGAGCATAAGAAAGAAGAATTACTGCAGGAGGTCTACCTGTCCATGCTGTTCAGGTCCAACTCTCACTCACTCATCATATAAGTTAATTAGATTTTTAACCCAGAAGGTTAGCCACCCAGGATAACCCAAGAAAGTCAGCACATCAATAAGAAATGTCTGTCTTATTTCCATTGGGGTCCCCCAGGGTACGACCCACACCACTCAACTAACACCCAGGTTCCTACTTACTGCTAGGTGAACAGGGCCAGTAGGTGTAAGGAAGCTTGCCCAATGTTTCTACCTGTACCAGGAACTGAACCGTGGACAGTGTGTGTGAGGTGAGAACATTGTCCACTGAGCCACGGGTACTACAAATAAACCCGTCACGCTTATGTTTAATTAAAGCTACTGACCATGGTGTACTATAAACAGTTTTAACTCACAGCAAAGAGAGACCAAGTGAGGGCTGAGTAGCCTCCACCATGCAAGAGGAGCAACAGAGGGCCAGCTGAGCCACGTTTGTATATGCGAAAAACATCACCACCTTCCAGGGTTACGTCTTCACTGCTGTCCCAATATTTCTTCCAAGATGCTGGAGTGTAGTCCTTCCGTCCACTCATGCCTGCACGTCCTCGGCCACCTCGCTTCATACTACAAAGAAGGATTTACATCCTAAATCGTTTGGATTAAGTTAAAATTGTAGGTGGCAATATTCCCTCTTATTCCACACAGCTAAACTTCTTAGCATAAAAACATAAGATAAGAGCACACTGCAAGTAGTCCTACAAGCCAATACTAAACAGGCCCTACTAACACCCAGCTACTTTCACTCATATTTGAGTGCCATATTTTCAAAGCTACTCGAGTGTTCTCCCCAATGACACTGCTTGCAAGTGTTCTGGTGATCAACTCTACTGCCAGACTAGAGCTTTCCCATATTATTTTATATAGTTGTTAATAAAGCAGGAGAATAAGACTGGCTTACCCAGGCACCCCAGGAGGACCCATGGGTGGCAAGTTGCTCTTGAGTAAAGAGCGTCGTATGTCAGACATGTTGGTCTTCTTGTTGGGTTTGTAAGGGCCACTGACAGGTTACGTCGTGTTGAGCTCTGCTTCCCGGTGTCCGGAGAAGAAATGTTGCTCGAACCTGGGCAATGAAAGAAAAGAGAACAGAGGTACCTTTGAATATAGAAAATGCAACTAGAAGTTCCTAAATAGACCAGAGCCAAGCTCCAACAAAGCTGGACGCCCACACCCGCACCTGAGTTCAGCAACCAGCTTCCCATCAAAGCCGTTGAAGAATTATCCAGAGGGGAAAATTGTAGCTGGCTAAAATTTAGCCGATAAGTAAGTTTATTTAGGTATACACAAATAAAGTTACATAGATTATCATACATAGCAGCATATGTGTAGAGAACCTAGGACAACCCCCAAAAAAGTCAAAGTGACTTACTTCCATCGGAGTCCTTTGAAAAAGTGCCCCACCTGTAACGTGCCCAACAAGCAGAGTTAAATGAGAACAAGCGTCCCAGAGAGGGAAAGGGAAAATTTATCATTCGTGCAGAAATAAATCTTTATCAGGCGAAAGAGAAATACGTCCACATATTATAAATTGTGCTACAAATTTTTACAACTATAAAGCTTCTTATTTGAAATACTCATTTGTACTTCATGTAATTTTACTGAATGTATCATTGCTTAGTTAATCTTAAGTTAATTTTAAGCCTGCCCACAATGCTCTGCATACAAGGGGCTTTTGGCATGTACACTCAACCACTGTATTTCTTTTGTGCAACTATGTATCATGTCCAAATAATAATAAAATAAATAAAAATAAATGAAGGTTGGCGCAGTCCACACTTCTCGAGTTTGTAAGGGCCATGGACGGCTTACAACGTATCGCGCCCTGCTTTCCTATGTAATTATTATTATAATCAAGGGGGAAGCGCTAAACCTGTAGGATTATACAGCGCCTGGGGGGGGGGATGCGGAAGGCATTCAGGCTTAATTCGGGGAACTGGAGCACAGATCCAATTCCCTAAATCAAGAGCCCCTCACCAACATCAAGGAACCTTCCCCGAGGGGTTTTCCGATGTAAGAGATACTGCCCGAAACTGAGCAATGAAAGCGAGAACAAGAATCCCTTTGTAAATAGAAAAAAAAAATAGAAGTTTCCAAATAGAGCAGATGGACATCCCCCTCACCAAGCCCCAGCCTTACTGAGTTCTACTTTCTAGTGTCTGAAGACAGTAATAATGATTAATTAAAGCTAGAACATTAAAATGGTATAAAATACCGACAGGTTGTTAGGTAAGACACATATGCAACAGTTAGGTATCTTTATTATGAAACGTTTCGCCTACACAGTAGGCTTCTTCAGTCAAGTACAGAAAAGTTGATAGAAGCAGAAGATACTTGAAGACGATGTAATCAGTCCATCACCCTTAAAGTTTTGAGGTGGTCAGTCCCTCTTCTCCAGACTGAGGGACTGACCACCTCAAAACTTTAAGGGTGATGGACTGATTACATCGTCTTCAAGTATCTTCTGCTTCTATTAACTTTTCTGTACTTGACTGAAGAAGCCTACTGTGTAGGCGAAACGTTTCATAATAAAGATACCTAACTGTTGCATATGTGTCTTACCTAACAATTAAAGCTAGGAAGGATCATACATTTATTATAATCATGGGCCTGGTGGTTCAAGTTTTCGCTTCACACGGCGAGGGCCTGGGTTCGATTCCCAGCCAGAGTAGATTATTATTATAATCAAGGGGGAAGCGCTAAACCCGGAGGATTATACAGCGCCTGGGGGGGATGATGTGGAAGGCATTCAGGCTTAATTCGGGGAACTGGAGCACAGATCCAATTCCCTAAATCAAGAGCCCCTCACCAACATCAAGGAACCTTCCTTGAGGGGCCAGCCAGAGTAGAAACATTGGGCGTGTTTCTTTCCACCTGTTGCCTATGTTCCCCATCAGTAAAATGGGTACCTGGGTGTTAGTGGACTGGTGTAGGTCGCATCCTGGGACACTGACCTAATTTGCTTGAAATGCTCAGCATAACAAGGAGCTTTCTATATAGTAGTATGTCACTGATGTCAGCTAGGACTGTATACCTTGTACATGTACTTGTAGCAAATAAAGATATTATTATTATGGGGAGCGCTACACCCGTAAGGATTATACAGCACCTGAAGGGGGAGGGATGGAAGGTATTCAGGCTCAGTTCAGGGAACTGAAGTACTGATCCAATTCCCTAGATCAAGAGCCCCTCACCAGCCCCTCTTGTGAGGAACTGTGTCGAAGGCCTTCTTGCAGTCCAAGATGATGCATTCAACTCGCCCCTCTCTCTCGTTTCTTACTTCTGTTACTTTATCATAAAACTCCAGAAGGTTTGTTACACAGGATTTGCCTTCCATAAAACCGTGCTGGTTGTCATTTATACTTTTGTTCTGTTCAAGGTGCTCCACCATTCTCCTCCTGATAATCTTCTCCATGACTTTGCATACTATACACACCAGTGACGTTGGTCTGTAGTTAAGCGCTTCTTTTTGTCTCCTTTCTACCTCATCATGTAACATGACTCGTTGTTGCCTCCCTGTCAGGTATTCTCTGATTCATTGCAGTGCCCTTCCCATTATACGTGCCTGATCCTCTAATTTCTGCATTAGTCTCTTGTGAGGAACTGTGTCGAAGGCCTTCTTGCAGTCCAAGAAAATGCAATCGACCCACCCCTCTCTCTTGTGTCTTAGTTGTGTGTGTGTACTCACCTAGTTGTACTCACCTAGTTGAGGTTGCAGGGGTCGAGTCCAAGCTCCTGGCCCTGCCTCTTCACTGGTCGCTACTAGGTCACTCTCCCTGAACCATGAGCTTTATCATACCTCTGCTTAAAGCTATGTATGGATCCTGCCTCCACTACATCGCTTCCCAAACTATTCCACTTCCTGACTACTCTGTGGCTGAAGAAATACTTCCTAACATCCCTTTGATTCATCTGTGTCTTCAGCTTCCAACTGTTTCCCCGTGTTGCTGTGTCCAGTCTCTGGAACATCCTGTCTTTGTCCACCTTGTCAATTCCTCTCAGTATTTTGTAAGTCGTTATCATGTCCCCCCTATCTCTCCTGTCCTCCAGTGTCCTCAGGTTGATTTCCCTTAACCTCTCCTCATAGGACATACCTCTTAACTCTGGGACTAGTCTTGTTGCAAACCTTTGCACTTTCTCTAGTTTCTTTACATGCTTGGCTAGGTGTGAGTTCCAAACTGGTGCCGCATACTCCAATATGGGCCTAACGTACACGGTGTACAGGGTCCTGAACGATTCCTTATTAAGATGTCGGAATGCTGTTCCGAGGTTTGCCAGGCGCCCATATGCTGCAGCAGTTATTTGGTTGATGTGCGCTTCAGGAGATGTGCCTGGTGTTATACTCACCCCAAGATCTTTTTCCTTGAGTGATGCTTGTAGTCTCTGGCCCCCTAGACTGTACTCCGTCTGCGGTCTTCTTTGCCCTTCCCCAATCCTCATGACTTTGCATTTGGTGGGATTGAACTCCAGGAGCCAGTTACTGGACCAGGTCTGCAGCCTGTCCAGATCCCTTTGTAGTTCTGCCTGGTCTTCGATCAAATGAATTCTTCTCATCAACTTCACGTCATCTGCAAAGAGGGACACCTCGGAGTCTATTCCTTCCGTTATGTCGTTCACAAATACCAGAAACAGCACTGGTCCTAGGACTGACCCCTATGGGACACCGCTGGTCACAGGTGCCCACTCTGACACCTCGCCACATACCATGACTCGCTGCTGTCTTCCTGACAAGTATTCCCTGATCCACTGTAGTGCCTTCCCTGTTATCCCTGCTTGGTCCTCCAGTTTTTGCACTAATCTCCTGTGTGGAACTGTGTCAAACGCCTTCTTGCAGTCCAAGAAAATGCAATCCACCCACCCCTCTCTCTCTTGTCTTACTGCTGTCACCATGTCATAGAACTCCAGTAGGTTTGTGACACACGATTTCCTATCCCTGAAACCATGTTGGCTGCTGTTGATGAGAGCATTCCTTTCTAGGTATTCCACCACTCTTCTTCTGATAATCTTCTCCATGACTTTGCATACTATACATGTCAGTGACACTGGTCTGTAGTTTAGTGCTTCATGTCTGTTTCCTGTGTGTGTGTGTGTGTGTGTGTGTGTGTGTGTGTGTGTGTGTGTGTGTGTGTGTGTGTGTGTGTGTGTGTGTGTGTGTGTGTGTGTGTGTGGTGGTGTGTGTGTGTGTCTTTTGTGTGTGTGTTGTGTGTGTGTCTTGTGTGGGGGTGTCTGTGTGTGTGTCTGTGTGTGTGTCTGTGTGTGTGTCTGTGTGTGTGTCTGTGTCTGTGTCTCTGTCTGTGTGTCTGTCTCTCTCTGTGCTGAATAGGTAAAACTTGTCAATTAGCAAGAATTCATTTAAAATTAAATCCTTTCTAAAATTTTCTCTTATATGTTTAAAGATATAATTTTTCATGTGTGTTAATGTAAAAATTAATAACTGCCTTATTAATCTTAAGATGTCTTAAGTTTGTTCGAAATGCTCTGCATGTTAATGGGCTTCCTGCATGCACATCTAAATGTAATAAAGACTCTTAAGTTCAATTTGCTATTCTGTTTTTCAATAATGTCCTAAGAGAGACAATACAGACAATCCTTCCCAAGCTACCACTACCAGAAATGATTTTTCAAAGGAAGGATAGCATGGGACTGAGGCAAGTGTGGAGGAAAGCAACCACACACACAGCCACAAGTGAGGACTAAGCATTGCAATATTGTGTCGAAAACTGCGCAGGTCAAAATCTGAGGATAGGTTTGGTCCAGTGATCACAGTAATGATCACGGTAATGAGCACAATACCATCCTGGTAAACACTGAAGAAGATACACATCTTTGTTGGAAGCATTTCACTTCCTCTCTGGGAGGTAAGATACACGTTAACATACTCATAGAAATGAAGCCCTTTAGGATGGCCCAGCACCAGGATCATTTGGGATGGAAAACCTACATAAAAAACCCTACCAACCCAGCTCTTTGATACTTATTGACTAGGCTGCTCTCTGTGGAGGGTGGAGCTCAGGAAAGTTCTTTGACAGTGGTGATTCATCCACTATTATGGTTTATCAACAGTG